TCTATAAGAATTAGCTTAACCACTGAAGCATTCTTTCCAAACCTGTTTTACAGATGGATTTCAAATTCAGACATTCTGAACAATTGATTGTGATGGATGAAAATTACAGAACTTGCAGATGCCAAGTCATATTTTCTATGCCTCAAAATAAAGGCTACATGGAGGAAATAATTATGATTTACACAGCAAATCCACATAGGATTTCATTATACCAAACTTGGGAAGGGAAGGAGAAAACTAAGATGTACATTATTAGTTGCAACATATCTAGCAATACCTAAAAGTATGTGGATTTTTTTTCACTGTAGAATGAGCCATTATTCCAGGCTAAGGATGGATGAATCAATAAAATAATTGTTAAGACATATTTTGTAAGAGACAGATTCTGCTCATATTCAAATGACTGGAAAATATGTAATGCTGAAAGTGGTGAGTAGAGTGGCTTGCTTAGAATGGCTTGCTACTGGCAATTACTAATTACCATGGCATCTGTATTTGAATTTAGATTACAGGGATTTGCTTAGCTCTTATTATTTATTTGCCATTGTTTACAACTACCTGCATTTCTGTGACATACAAACTAATTTGGTTGCCACAATGTAAAACAAATGCTGACACTCAAAAAGAGTACAGAGAATAGCAACAAAGATGATTAGGGGATTGGAGGCTAAAACATAAAGAATGGTTGCTGGAATTGGGTATGTTTAGTTTAATTAAAAGAAAGACTAGGGTTGACGTGATAGTAGTATTCCAATATCTTAGAGGCTGCCACAAAGAAGAGAGGGCCAACTTATTCTCCAAAGCACCTGAAGGCAAAACAAGAAGAAATTGATGGAAACTTATCAAAGAGAGATCCAACCTAGAACTAAGGAGGAATTTCCTGACAGCTAGAACAATTTATCAGTGGAACAACTTGCCTCCAGAAGTTGTGGGTGCTCCAACAATGGAAGCTTTTAAGAAGATATTGGATAACCATTTGTCTGAAATGGTATAGGGCAGTGAGGGCTAACCTTTTCCGGAACAAGTGCCCAAAGCGTGTGTGGCCAAACCCCCAAAATGCAAGGCACGCACGGCCTCTGCACATGGACACATGCCCTTTCATGCACCCTGTCCCCACGCATGGGCCCCTGGGCCCCCCTGCATATACCCCGCCCCCACACATGCATGCGTACCCCCATATGCGCCCCATCCCCATGCATTTGTGCTTGTGACCCACACATGTCCCACCTCCCATGCATGTGCATGCAGACCCCCACGTGCATGCACCCCCCCCCACGTGACCTGCCCCCCGCGCATGCGTGGAAGAAACCCAAAAACCAGCTGACCAGTGGGAGGCATGGATGTATGCTGAACTGGGGTGATGGCTCATGTGCCCACAGAGAGGGCGCTGTGTGCCACCTCTGGCATGCGTGCCATAGGTTCGCCATCATGGGTATAGGGTCTCCTGCTGAAGCGAGGGGTTGGACTCAAAGACCTCCAAGGTCTATTCTGTTCTATTCTATTCTATTCTATTCTATTCTATTCTATTCTATTCTATTCTATTCTATTCTATTCAACAAAACTTCTGTTATGCCCAGAATCAAATGTGGGAATCTCTATTCCAAGGGTGGCTATCATATATCTCTTTAATACCATCTAGTGCGCATCTGGATGCTTGCAATCAAAGCTCTACTCTTGCCTGCTAGGTTGCTCCATATAGCCGTAGAGACTTAAATAAGCCTTCATCCATTACTTTAAAGTTTCAGTGTTTTTATCCACACACCAGGGCATCCTGGATGTCATGTTTCTTCAGGCCTTCCTTCATCACTTTTCTCTGGAAAAGGCAAATACCAAGTCAAACTTATGCTCTCTCAGTCGAACTTATGCTCTCTCATATCCAATCTTTGGAAAAACCATGGAACTGGAGTTACTTCTTTGCTCCTATTCAAAACTTTACCATGTACTTTATGTCTTAAAAATAAAGGTATAGCTCAACCAAAGCTAGACAGCCAAGTCCTAATGTTTAAACTCGGTTGGATTGTCTAGTTTCCTTGTATCAGTGGCACCTTGCCATTCAAAATAAAAATGTGAAAAACAGACCATTCCTGTCACATTCCTGCACTATACTTATTAGTTTGCAGGTTTGTAAATAATATAATATTGTTACTAATACATGATGTAAAACATATTGCTTGCACATCAGTAATTGTTGGACACAAACTCTTGGTTTTTTTAATGCACAGAAATATTCAAAATATAACTGGTAATAAGGTAATATATTCAAAAATATAATTATGTCAATCTACTACATCCTTTTTCTTAATGGATAGAATAACTATTAAAATTCACCTTTATTTTTTTCACTAGAAAAAAGTTTCATAAGAAGGGTATATATCTCAGTGGTGGGTTGCTACCGGTTAGGCCCAGTTCTACAGAATAGGTAGTAACTTTAGGAAGTAGTTCTCCAAACCGGTAGTAACGGCAGCCAGGCCATGCCCCTGAACCGGTTCCCTGGTCCCTGCTTGCTCACCTACCTGAAGCTGACCGGAGCAAAGAAGCTTCTCATCTGCCTGGCCGCAGGGTGTCGAAAAGTCCTTCAGCCGGTGAGAAGAAAGCTATACATGCGAGAAGATGATGGCAGCAACCGGAGGTCTTTCTGGCGTTGTGCACCAGTGGCTGGGTGGAAAAGAAGCCTCTTGGCTTCCAAGTTCAGCAGCAGACTCAGTCCCTTCACACAGGGTCACTTTTCTCCGCGTCCAAGAAAGATCAAAAGATGTGGAACAACCTTTAATGACAAAGCCACCTAGATGAGATAAAAGAAAGCAAACCACTGAGGGAAGGAGCCCACCAAAGCTGCTAGCGTTGCAGCCGTCCCCCTTCCCCGCAGCTTGGAGCTCCAAGCAGAAGAGGTCCTCGGCTGTTGTGAAGAAGCAGCAACTCTGGGTGCGCCACGCCCGCTTCTTTCCCTTTGAGAGCCGCTTTACAAACAAGGTGCAAAGTGGCTCTCAAAGAGAACGAAGCGGGCGTGGCGCACCCAGAGCTGCCGCTTCTTCACAACAGCCAAGGACGGAAGAGTTCGCTCAGGAGCGACGCCAGCAAGGAAGGCGGCTAGGTTGGAGGGAGATGTAGCCCAAGCTCTCTGGGATGGGTAAACAAGTGTGGGGAGGCAAAGGGGAGTGGACTTGGCCTGCCGCGTGTTGCATCCCCCTACCAGCCTTTGCCCACGCCTCCGTGCCACCAGCGTCTCCCGAAGCCGCTCCCATTGGAGTCGCGACAGGGATGGGGGCAGCCCAGTAAGCTGGGTGCCCCAAAATGGTGCGGAGGCGTGGGGGAAAGGCTGAGAGGGAGTGCAACACACGGGAGGCTCCCCGCAGTTCCTTGGCTCATCTGGGCTGCAGCTGAGTCCGCTGCCCTGAGCTGGCAAAGTGGATTGCTCTGGCTGCAACCACAAGGAAGACCTGTCAGAGGTGAGAAAGGGCACTTTTCGACCAGGAAGGGCAACGGAGGGAAAGCCAAGATGACAACCACCACCCCACATGTCCCGACCTGGATATGGGGCCGGAGTGTCAAAAAAAAGTTTCAAAAAGTCCCAAAAATTTTAGCCACCTTTTCGGTGGGCATGGCTTGGGGGGGGTGTCATGTGACTGAGTGTGTGAGTGATGTCATGTTGGCCACGCCCAATCAGTCATGCCTCCCCACCTAGCCACACCCACTGAACCAGTAGTAAAAAATTTTAGAACCCACCACTGATGTATCTGTAACTGAATATTTCCAAAATCCTTACCAAATCACAATTACTGTGGCTAAAGGAGGAAGCAAAACTGTTTCATTGGTATAATACTTATTATATGTAGTACATATAATACTGTATATGTAGTACAGAACTTTCAGAATTCATGTTTTTTTAAAGCAAAGGAAGGAGATCATATAAAGCTGTGTTAGCCTTTATTATTATTTTTTCTAGACCACGTTTAATCATTCAATTCATCAGGAACTGAAGCAGAAACTCATCATTCTTGAGAAAAGCTAAAAAGTCAGAAGTGTAATTCATATAATAAATTATTACCATAGCAGATAGCATGCAAATAAATTTAAAATACAAAACATGGACTCCTTACTTCTTTAATTAATCTTTTGATCTGGATCTGCTTGCCTTTTGCATGTAAAAAAGAAAGCAGCTTGGGAACATTGCTTTGCTACATTCTTACAAAACTGTAATTAAAAGTTTAGAAGGAAATTACATATTCCAGATTTATCATAGTATTTTTTTATATAAACCTGTTACCATTTTAGAATGGAAAAAAATCTTCCAGAAAGAGCTATATTACACTCAAATTTGCAGCTTTCTGTGGAATTTATCATTATCATTAGATCTACTTCTAGCTAAGCTCTCCATTAATCAAGCTATTTGTGAAAAATACCTGTACATTTACCACACAGGTATAAGGCTATTAGATCTGGATTAGCATCCCTTATACCGCTGGCACTCAGCAAGAAGACAATATAGTTTTAAGTTATCTGTCTGTTCTTTTATCAAAATATATTGGTCTTATCAAAGCAAAGAGATTTCATAAAGCCATTCATTTGACAACCAGAAACCCAATCTCTTCAACTCTTGAAGGAGGGTGTAGGACAGCTTGCCATGGCTAATTCATCACAGCCAATTTGTTGCGGTACAACTTGCCATAGCCAACTTGCCGCGGGACAATTTGCCATGGAACAAGAGTTACACTAACATTAAATAAATGGTAGAATAGAATCATTAAAGAAAGGATGCCAAAGGAGGGACAGAATGAAATGTAAATGGCAAAAAGTAAAATATTTTAAAATTTATTTTAAATAAATTGAATTGTTGAATTATCCTGTACCAAGTTGTCCCACAGTGAGTTGGCCATGGTGAGTTGTCCCATTCCATGGAAGGACATCTTAAAAGCAAAAAACATACTATATAATGGAATTTAGTCAAATTGATTGTTTTTGTTATTTCTCTTAATTTTTTGTTGTTGTTGTTATTTCTTCAGGAAGAAGATGGAGCTCGTGACAGCCGATTTAACTTTGGTGGCTATGGGATGGGTCACTGCCTACAAGTAAAAGATGGTACCGCAGTCAAAGCTACACCTCCCAATCCTCTACCACCTCCCATGCCAAAAGATTCAGATTCCATCAAAAAGAAATTTGTGGACCGTGCCAAAAGGATTGATACAATATCCCGAGCTGCCTTCCCACTTGCCTTTCTCATCTTCAACATATTTTACTGGATCACATACAAAATTATACGTCATGAGGATATTCACAAAAAATAAGTAACTCTTTGCAAGCTGGGTTTTCTAGCCAAAGTGACTTTCTTGTAAATAGTGAAGTGTCTTTTTTTTGTCCTTGGCACTGAAGGTTTGTTGTCTTGTGCTGCTAAACAAGTAATGGGGAACAATAACCATTGCACAAAATAAGTTACATTGATAAGATTGCAAAATGAAAAGGTAGTCTCTATGTGGTTCTTCCAGTATTCTTACCAAGATCACACACTCACAGGGCATATTTGTTCTGAGTTGTCAGTGTGTTTCAGCTCTATTTAAGGAATTCTTAAAAGCATCTGTCATGGGATTGTCTGTAATGGTTGCACTGCAGTAAGTTTTAAGAGGACCAAATTTTTTTCAGGGTAACATTGCTTTCCTTTAGGAAACAAGTATCTACACTACAAGCTACATTCCATTAATCTCTGTAGTTAGCCCAGAAGTCCCCTTGTCAATGGTAAGTTATTTCTACTAAGAGGGCATGGGAAGAAGAGCCTTATACTTTATTAACTTTATGGGGGTACATTTTAATATTCTTGCTTTCTTAGAACTGAGGTTCAACTTGCATAGACTGTGATTAATTTCACTCCTTTCATCTACAGAAATGGCTTGTGCTATGGATAATGTTCTTATTTTAAGATGGTGCACTTATTTCAATTTATTTTTTTTAAATTAACTACATGCAGCATAAGGTGCCAAACCATACTTTACCTATCATAATTCTACACCATATTGTTGGTTAAGAATTTATGTCCAAGAGTAGTTCAGTTTAGCATTGAATTTCTATTACTGATCTCCTTGTAGTTGCGAGTTGATAACTCTGTAGGTAAACATGACTTGTTTACAGACCTTGACTTTATATCTTTACTAAAAGAAACCCAGGTGGGTGTCATTTTAAATATCATTAACTTACTAAAGAGTTTTAAACTGTACTGTGATTTTCATAACCTGTTAACCTTTTGGTGCCAGCGCTATGTGGTTTAAATCCATGCTATGTGTTTTAAAGTACATATGAAAACAATTTTAAAAAGTGAACAGAAAATGGAGGTATTTTTGTTTACCCAAGAAAAAAAACTGTAATATTTAAAACAAAGGAAACATTAAGATTTTACATTTGCTGTAAAAATTTATTACAGAAAAATTAATTATTCAATTTCAATAAAGTTAAGTGTAGAATTCATTTTTGTTCATTATTCTTTCCTACTATGGAGTCCCCAAATCAGGAATGGATTCTACTTATCTTTACTACCGGTTCGGAATGGGATCGTCCTTTGATTGATTGATATGGAATACTTGTCTTGGAAACAAACTAGAGAAAAGGAGTCTGATACATTTAATACCACCCAAAGAATTTTAAAACAAAATGCATTTGTGATAGCAGGAGTATCCTATCTAGAGTGCAAAACTATGGATGTTAAGAATTTTTACTATTTCTTTATTGATACTTTTTCAGCTCAGGTATGTCAGGTATTGCCATTAATGGGCAAATACAAATTGGTAATCTTTCATTTGAAAACAGAAAAAGGATTCCCAGAACATGAAGAAAAAGAAATATCATTCTTCTGAGAAACCCAAGTACATAGCCCCTCTTGAGACAGCAGGCCTTTTAGGTAATCCTCTATTTACAGCCATTCATTTAACAACAGTTCAAAAATATGACAGCCTTGGAAAAAATGACCTGTACTTACACTTACAATTGTCACTCCATTCCTACATCATGTGGTCATAATTGTGGTTCTTGCCAACTGGCTCACATTAAAAACCAGTTATGGAATTCTGGAGTGACATGATCACCGTTTCCAGCAAAACAATTGTCATTGCAGAAGCTGGATTCACTTAACAACCACGTGATTTTCTTAATGATCACAGTAAAGTTGGTTGTAAAATTACATCCTAGTCTCCTTACAACCACAATGACGTACAACAGAAATACAATCCCAATTGTGGCTGTAAATCGAAGATTACCTATACTAAAAATGAAAGACCGATGGTGCAGCTAGCACCAGAATTCACTTGTGGGAAGCATCAGAGTTCACAGTGATACACAATAATGATCAGATACTCTTTGCCTAGAGAAAAGATTGAAACTCTTAGAATTCCTTAGCTAGCCTCCAGCTAGAAATTCCGGATTTTTTAGTTAAATCATACCCGGATGACATCAGGTTGGCAAGAGTGTTTGTACCCACCAATCTCTCTCAGTGATATAAATACTTAACTAAATGATCAGAAAATCAAAACTACAAAAATGCAGCTTCCGTGAATGTTGAGTTGTCCTCTCTTGAGGTATATTTTTTTTAAAAAGGAAATATGCATACCTTGCCTGAAAGTGCTGCATGCTGATATCTCCACTTGGGTACTCCTGTTAACAGTGCAGGTGCCATTCAGTAATACCTCTCTTCTCCTCCCCAAATCTGACCACATAAAATAGGACTGTGTGAATAGTATTTCAGATGGCTTCCTTGGTTGATTTACTTGATGAATAGTGATTGTTGAAAATGCTTATGGGCTGCTGTTCAAGGAATAATATAAACTACACTAGTTTACCACTATTGTAAACAGAATCTTTAATTACAGATATTGGCAGTGTTTGTTTTTGTTAAAGGATAATGGAAGTGGGGTTTTTTATATGTAGTATTTTAAGCAGGTATGTTGTGGATTTAATAAGACAAACACAACTTTTAGATTAATCAGAGACAGATTTTATATATTGCGCAATAGGTTCAAGGCTCTGTACATGAAGCGTTGAACAAAGACAGAAATTAGGTACAATGGTTTTATACCCTTCTAGACAAAGGATTCTGTTAACTCAGCAATTCATATGGTCATATACATTTATCATTTTTAATTGACATTTCCTAATTACAGAGTTTCTTTGCAAACAGTTATAATTCTTTTTGTAGATTACTGAAGCATAGATTCAAATCATCTTTTGACGATGGACAACTTTTAACTCATGTGGATCCCCTTGACCTAACCAACCTTTAAGCTGTATGTCATTAGAATGTTCCTTTCTTCTGACAATTTAGAAGCCTCCTAGAGGAACCAAAAGGATTTTGGCTGAGTTTGTACTTTTTCCAACCGGATGCATTGCTTTTTAGAATAGAGTGAATAGAAAGTTATCCAGTGATCATCTATCAGAGCCCGCTTCATTACATTATTCCCCCCTCTGAAAGTTTTTCAATGCAGAAACTTTCACTATTCTCATATAAGTTTAACTTCTGAGTATACAAGGTTCCAATAAACAATTCTACCATATATAGGGTCTAACAAAAGATAATTAATAAAAGTAAAGGATAGGTAGTTCTTGATTGTTTTTCTACTCTCTTGATTCTTGGGGAGATTCTCTACCTCTTTCTATAGGTTCCATTTCCTCATATGGGTCTGCCTCAGAATCTTTATGTTCTTCCACAGGATAGGGACCAAGTTGATTAAGAAAATGTTCTATCAAAGCTAGTTCCTTTTCAACTTGAATCTCCTTTACTGCTCTTATTGATAGCTGTTTCAGCATAGGGATTGCACAAGGAATAAAAGCTAGGCCTGCCACAGCCATATTAATCCACCCGGATCCAGGCAACCAAGAAAACCACATGTCAGTTGTTTATAACCTCTGACCTATCTTGGAAGCCCTATCCTGCAATTCCTTGGCAATTTCTCTGACCACACCTGATTCGTTACATGTTCCTGTCCAGTTTGTTGGTAAACACAAATATGCATCCTTTCCACATAAGAAGATTTATGGAAAAGGCATGCACTCAGTAGTTCCTTGCATTAGTCCAGACCCCTAAGTCCCTGCCACAAACATTCCTGCCAGTGGTTGCAATGGGACTTCCAGTGAGGGGTCCTTCTGTTTATCTCTGAGAATTGGTCCTTCAAAAACATATCGAGAGGTAGTATTTCCAGATGGAAAAAGGATGCACAAATCTGATTTGGACTTTAAGTTGAACCAGAGCGGAAATTCTGAAGGTTGAAATGGTCTTGGACAGATTCTATCCACCCCACTTTCCCTTCTTAAAGTTTATTTCTGGTAGCCTTTGTTCTAACCCAGAGTTGTGGTTTGACAGGAACAGCATGATAAGATGCAGGGCTAGCAGATAAACATAAGCAGCATTTCTGACCTAGGGTAGGGTCATACTGTTTAACAAGATCTTGACTTTATTCCAAAATCCGTGATATATAGTCTCCTCTATGCAATTGTTGTAGAGGCCCTTTTTCCTTATCTATTCCACCCTCAGCTGGGAATGTCAATAGTGCAACCTTAGGTGGTGGAGTTGACTTAGGTCTAAAGTAAGAACCTCGTGCATAGACAATGCATTTTTGGCGGTAGCGAACTTGACCTAAAGTGTCTCTACTTGGGGAATCAATGTTCATTTTATGTTCACTTGAGAGTCCTAGTGCGAATAATGTTCAAAGCCATAAACAAATCATAATCAACCATGGTGTGAAGCTCACTACGTCAGGGAAAGGGTTAGTGGTGCATGTGGTTTGGGAAACAGGAGTAGCAATAAAAATCCTAGGTCTACCACAAAACCGTTCCTTATATATGTAAAACAAAATTACTAGCAACATTAGAAAAACAAGTACCCACAAAACGTACTCCCAAACTTCTAATAACATTAGCATGTGTAAGGAAGTGTTATATTAAAGCTAAGAAAATGTATATGTGCAATGTGAAGGCAGTTGTCCTCTTTACAAATCTTCCGCCGTTCGTTGAGAATCAGCTTCCGGAGTGATTCAGCAGGGCTGATGATCACCTGGTATCAGTCTCATCCAGTGGATCCAGGATCGTCCTTCTAAGATCTTAAAAACACAATTACAAAACCAATACATCTGGGCGAGTGCGCAAAGGAATCTGAGCAGTTGTAGTCCTTTTCAGTTGGGAAACAGCATAGGCAACCACTGAATCCTAAGAAAGAAAAAATACAAAAATAGTCCAGATGATGAAGAACGCTATTCCCACTGGTGGCTGGATCCTTTGGATCATCAACTTCAGTGGATTTCCTTGATGAGATTGGGCCCGTTCACTTGGGGTCTAACTTCCATCCAGTTTGGATTAACATCCAATCATCGTGGTGGAATTTGTGGACTGGAAACTTCAAAGGTGGTGTTTGGGCTAATAGTCCTTGTTTCCTAAAAACTTCAAAATATCTGGACAAGTTATACACATATTGTTTCAATACTTTGTCTCTGGTTTCCAAGGAAGTAATGCATATGCTTCCTGTAGTGAAAACTACTCCAAACAACAGTGTCAGGTTTCGGTTCTGTCTTAAAATAAGTTTCATTTTCAAGCGCAGTCTCTAATGAATCATTCTTTATTAAGAACAGAAATAGCCGACATTTCTGAGGCTAATTGCAGCTCAACTGGCCCCTCCTTCCAACCCCCTCCTCTTCCGCTCTCCAACCCGATTTCTCATTGGCCATTAGCCAATCCATCTCTCCGTCCTGGCACGTACTTCTCACAGGAATGTGACCCCCCCCCTCATCCCCCAGAAAACCCTATCTCTTGCATGCAGAAAACTAGGTAAAAGTTCATCTCAGCAATAATTCAGCACTTCTGGTCTTCATGACAGCACTGGAAGAGAGCATAAGTTGGAGTGCTGACATCCGGCCCCTCTCCCTTCACTTCTGCGACATCACCTATCCCATAGGGAAAACACAAGAAGATTAGTCCCATCAGCCCCTCCCTGGCTGTGCACCCCCCCCTCCCGGCTTTCCCGGGTGGTCTGCATGGAATTTTGCTATAAGGCGATCAGCTTGGATGTTTGCGCTCTTCACCCAGGAAGCCTCTGACAATGGGTAACCCTTCCATTTAATTAAGTACTGAAGGCGCCCCCTGTGCCATCTTGAATCGAGAATCTGCTGCACTTCATAATGCGTTTGGCCCCCAACAACCAGGGGCCCAGGGGGTTCACGTGGTGTTGGCCTTAAAGTAGACCCCACTACAGGTTTTAGAAGGCTACTGTGAAAAACAGGGTGAATTTTCCCCAAAAGCCGTGGCAACTGCAATTGCACCGTAACGGGGTTGATTATTTTTATTATAGGAAATGGTCCTATAAATTTTGGGCCCAATTTCCTGCTCGGGAGTCTAAGTCTCAAGTACTTGGTGGAGAGGTAAACTTTCTCTCCCAGCTGAAATGGTCTTTGGGGAGTTCGGTGCTTGTCTGCTTGGTCCTTATAAGATTG